TCGGCTCAGCCTGTAATCCCAGCACTTTGGGAGGCCAAGGCAAGTGGATTGCCTGAGTCCACGGGTTTGAGACCAGCCTGGGCAACTTGGTAAGCCCTCTTCTCTACAATAATAAACCAAAAATTAGCCGGGTGTGGTAGCGTGCACCTGTAGTTCCAGCTACTTGGAAGACTGAGGCGGAAGGATTGCCGGAGCCCAGCAGGTCGATGCTGAGGTGGCAGTGAGTGTGCCACTGCACTCCATCCTGAGCAACGGAGTGAGACTCCAACTCAAAAAATAAATAAATAAAATAAAAATAAAATTTCTAGTTCTGTGCATTGAAAGGGCTTAGAAGCACTAGGGTCACTATTTGTCCCAGTTTGCCATGGACTGAAGGGTTTTCCATGGATGTTGGACTTTCAGGCAAATACTAGAGTAGTCTAGGTGAACCAGAAGGACTGAGCGCACCTAACAATCAGATCTTGATTTTTAAACTCCATTTCTCACTAAAATGCTCCAGAGCTCCTTGGAGAAGTGGCTGAGTCCAGTTTGGGGCAGGGAAAGTATGATATGGGCTATGCCCACAGGATTTAGGAAAACAAATGAAACTAATCTATAGGGATAGAGGTCAGATCAGTAGTTGGCTTGGAAGGCATGAGAGAAGGAATTGACTGGAAAGGAAAATGGGGAATTTTGAGGGTAATGGAAATGTTATCCTGGCCTACACATCTGTCAAAATTAATCGAACTGTACCATTAAAACATGCATTTTAGCCGGGCTCGGTGGCTCAGCCTGTAATCCCGCACCTTTGGGAGGCTGAGGTGAGTGGATTGCCTGAGCCCGTGGGTTCGAGACCTGCCTGGGCAGCAAGACCTCATCTCTACAATAAATCAAAAAATCAGCCAGGCGTGGTAGCGCACACCTGTAATTCCGGCTACTCGGAAGGCTGAGGTGGAAAGATCGCCGGAACCCAGCAGATCGAGGATGCGGTGGCCGGGAGTGGCCACTGCACTCCAGTCTGGGCAACAGAGTGAGACTCCAACTCAAAAAAACAAAACAAAAAACATGCATTTTATTACATATAAATTATATCACAGTAAAGTGGGAATAAATCAAGACAAACCAAATGAGAAAAGCAAAGACTTGTATTGACAACTTGCTGTAGCAAGGGAGTTAAGCACTGTACTTGTGTTTTGGCAGGGGCTCAAAGGCAGGCAGAGGAAAGGGAAAACCTCACAGTGGAGAAACGGACAATTCCAGGAGCCCCCTGGTGGAGGCTGGTGGCATGGAAGGTGGAGGCAGCTCAGGAGCAGGGGTCCCATGTGCTGGTTAACAATGCATACTGGCTTTCTCTGGTTTGTCATACATTGGAAGTGGGGACAAAAATTCAGGAAGCTGTCAGGTTTAATCAAGTCCTGGCCATTTTTAGCTAATTGTGATGAGAAGTTGCTGTTTAGCTGCCT